TTCCTCACTCTCTATCTCGAAAAAAAAAAGATCAGGAACTGATGTTTTATTTTGTTTTTGGTTGGTTGGGTATAGTGGGAATAGGGAGGTTAAGGTGTCCCGAGATGGGACCGAAGTCGAGCCGTCTATCGGCGCGGCTATCGTTGCTGAGATCGAGAACGAGTTCAATCGTCATCACCATCAACATCACCATCAACATCACCAGATCCACCAGGTCCAACAAGACCAACAGATCCATCATCATCAACAAGAACTGCAACAACCAATCCAACAACACCAACATCATCACACCCAACCTTCTTCTTCTTCTTCTGGGCTGCCGGCTCTTCAAGATCAACACTTCCAGGCTTGAACCTCGTCATCCATTGGTTCTTCCTGTTTTTTTTTTTTTGAAACGCGGGTCGGATGAGCGAGCCAGTAGGGGGGGTCTTGTTTTCGATATGGATCGGCGACATCGAGCCGGTCTTTCTCTCGTTTCTTACCGCCCAGATGGCGCGGATTCTCTTGCGCACTGCAGAGTGCGTCACTGAGCATCAGGAAAGTCGAGGCTGCGGTCTCGCCTTGTTCTTCTTCCCTCCTCCTCCCCCCCTCCTCCCCCGTTTTGCTTCCTCTTCTTTTATTTATTCATGTTCATGTTCATGTTCATTATGATGAGTTATTACATAAGATTGATTATGGGGTATTTATTGGCGCTTCTCATTTCATTCTTCTTGTGCTTGTTGACAAGAACCAGATCACAGATTTTGTTTCTTTTCTTTTTCTTTTTCTTTTCTTACTATATGGTTTTATGATTATGATTATGATTATGAACTTGTTCTTGTTCTTGTTGTCTTTGTTGTTGTTGTTGATGATGATGATGATGATTTTTTTTTTGGAGGGGAATGAATGTGTCGTACGATCACGTGATCATAATGTCGAGCCGGTTCCTTTTTCTGGAATCCGGGGTGGTCCTTGACTTCGTCTTGGATGGCGGATCTTAATGAGTCTTGACTCGATCGTGCGGGACTTTTGGATCATGTAAACGTCCTGACCAGAATCTTTCATTCATTCATTTTTTTTTCTGTCCCTTTTTTTTCCTTTTGGTTTGGTTTGGTTTTTGTCCAATATCTTACCTCCCCCCCCCCCCTTTTTGGTGGGGGGGGAGTATTTGTTTGATTGTTTGAGAGTCGAAGTGTGAGGCAAGCCAATGGTCATCTCTTGATTATATAGACTTGACTTGAGTAGCTTTGCTCTGATTTGATCACTCAGACAACGGTGGGCCGCTACACTAACCGTAGCGGTAATTAGTGTAGTGTAAGAGCATCCGCATCAGCTCTGCTAAACCCCGCGCTTTGCTACATTTAGCCACAAACACACCGCATCGGTTCGGCTATGATCCCGAATCTTGCCAGATTTTCTAGCATTCATCGCCAACCCTCCCCAACTTTGGGAGTACTTGTCAACGATGCTAGGGCATCCTGAATATTCAAAGTTCAGTTCGCAGCAACTCGTAGCTAGTGGATGCTATATCCCAAAGCTATATCTCAAATACCCTACAACACCTCTTTCAACACAATACCTCTTCAACATCCAAAACAAAAAATCAAATGGCCCGCGGACCGAACTGGCTCAGCAAAGAGGACGCACAACTAGCAAGGAGTTGGCTCCACACATCACAGAATCCCATCTATGCAAACGCAATGAAGCGTGATCAGTTTTGGGAGCATGCAGCCGAACATTTCAATGAAAACTCACCTGGAGGTCACCGAGAAGGAAAAGATCTTTCAACTCGGTAAGTGTAATTTTCATTTTTATCATAATCCACTCTATTGATTTTGTTCACTTTGTTTCTTAGGTGGGCCAAGCTCCGGGCAGCTGTGACAAAATTTTGCGGGATATACGCATCCATCAAGCGCAACCCACCGTCTGGAAGCGAGACACTCGATTGGCTTAGTCAGGCAAAGACACTCTTCTCGAATCAAACTGGCAAGCCTTTTGTCTTTGAGAGTGCATGGATGGAGCTCCGAGATGCCCCAAAATGGCAAATCCTGTTGGATAAGACACCAGCGCCGACCCTTCTTCCCAACTCTCAATCACAATCAGGATCACCAGCACCACCGCAATCCAGTGGCACTGTTCCAAATCCGCCAAATACACCGACTAGCGAACAGGCTGCCAATTCTCCTAGCGCAAACGACGGAAGACGACCGACTGGGGTCAAAGCAGCAAAAAGGGCTTTGACCCAGAACGAATTCCTCCAGAAGAAATTGAAACTAATGGAGACATCAGCCAAAGAGAGCCGCGATTTGAGTCAGAAGAGATTTCAAGAAATGTCGCGCGCAAACGACTTACAAGAGAAGGTCGTGGACATGGACATTTTGTCGAAGGATCTCTCGATGTGTGTTGACGAATTTGAACGAGCCTATTACACAAGAGCAAAGAAGGACATCCTCAAGAAGTTGGAAGAGGCCAAGAATCAGCCACCCCCACCTCCACCAACCAACGATCAAGCCCCATCATCGTCAACCAATCTTGAGAGTCAAGACGACGGGACCAAGTCTCTTGCTTCTTCTCATCGCGATCCCCTCAATCTTACATCGGAACCCAACGAATCGCAGGTTGATGACAAAGAAGAGGGAGCCGAGGACCACGATGGTCCAGTTGGTGATGCCTGCGACAATCTCAACATTGACCCAGCCTTCTTATGATCGGTCTACATTTTCTTCCTGCTTTCTTTGCCTCAATCTCTCTTTCATCTTCTTACAGCTTTCTTCTGCTCGCTTTGACGTTAAATCACTTTGTAACCAGTTGCTCGCTCTATCTTTTTTTCTCTTTTTTTTTTAGAAATGAATACAGTTTGGGTCCAAACTCCCTTGTGTTTTCTTTTTTTATACTCAACTTGAATTTGGATCGATATGTATGCATTTCTTCCACAAGGGGTGAGAATTACATGGAGGATAAAATGAAACAATGAAACAACTCATAAAATTTACAAAACACAAGATGAATAACTTCATGAGAAAACGGAAAATTAAGAAAAAAAAATAGATAACCAGATTGAAGATCAGGTGGAATGATGATTCCCCTTTTGATCCCATTGCCACTTAATTAGAGTGTTTGTCAAGTCTCGATGGAGTCGTTCCGATCGGATGGTATTTGCGACTTGACGGCGATCTTGAAAGGTGTTCAATAGTGTTGCTGAGATAATAGAAAATGTTTGACCAGATGGCGCTGGACTTGGATCGCTAACAAAATCCGAGATCCCCTCCTCCACCATCATATTGTGTAGTACAATACAGCACAACACGATTGACTTGATATCATCCTCATACCACATTCGAATCGGGGTGGTCAGAATGTGCCATTTGCTTTGAAGGCCACCAAATGCTCGCTCGATATCTTTTCGGACCGCCTCTTGATTCGAGTTGAAATTCTTGGAGGCTAAGTCTGAGTTGGAAGGGTTGGGAACTGATTTAACAAATGCCGACCACAATGGGTATATCCCATCGGCGAGGTAGTAGCCGGAGTCAAATCGATGGCCATCTAGATAGAAAGAAACGGTGGGTGCCTGACCGTTGAGTACATCATCGAAGAGTGGTGACCGATCTAGAATATTGATGTCGTTGTTTGTTCCTGGGGTGCCGAAGAAGCTGTGCCAGATCCACCGGTCCTTCGTGGCAACTGCTTCAAGTACTATTGTCGGTTCTTTTTCTTTTCCAGTAAACTGTCCAGCCCAGGCTCGGGGGCAGTTCTTCCATCCAACGTGCATACAATCAAGGCTTCCCAAGCAGCCTGGGAAGCCCCGGGTTGCGTTCTCTCGAAGGATCCCTCTCAAGTCATCTTGAGTTGGCCTTCTCAAGTATTCTGAGCCGTAGATTTTGATGATTGATCTAGTAAAAACTTTGAGTGTCTCGCGAGCAGTCGTTTCCCCAATGCGAACGTATTCGTCTGTTGCATCCGAGGAAACCCCATATCCTAGTTGTCGTAGATCCGAGGTTATCTTCTGAGGCGCTGTGAGCCCCAGCTTCCCTGTGCAATCCTTTGAGAATAGAATCATCGATATCAGAACAAGTTAAGAAAACTTACTAAAACAAATTACTCACCGCTCGTTGAATAAAATAAGATGTTGAATTCTTTGTCTGAAAGTCGTTGCACAATCGAATAAAAACACCTTTTGTCACACGAAAGCGGCGTTCAAAATCCTTTTCGCTGTATACCGAGTTTTCGACCAAGTAGTCATTCATGAGTTGCTCGTGGCCAGCCAGGGCATTTCGGTTCTTGTTGGGAATACGGTTCATGATAGGTTGGCGCTCGTGATCCTCGATTTCGTCGTCAGAGTCTTCAAAGAGCATGTTCATGAGATTACGATCGTGTTCATCCGCTTCTTCATCGAAATCGGCAAGTCTCTGTGCATGCTCCTTGAGTTGAAAGAACCAAAGCGACATCTATAGTGATTCCGATGTGGTGTATGGTCGTAGTTTACTAGCGCAGTCGAGGGGTGGTTGGTTCTGAAAAAGTCATGACCGATGTGGCGGGTGTGTGACGGTTGCTATGTCACGTGGCTAACCGTTGCCATCCTCCCTAGCTTTGACCCGCACTGATGCGGATGCTCTAACGCAGCGGAATCGCTGTTAGCGATTAGCGTAGCGTAGCGGAATTCCGCCACGACACCGCTAATGCTACGCGTGTGGGCCGCAAAAAAGGGCCCACTACGCTGTGCTACAGCGGTTTTTGGCCGCTTTTTCCGCTAAAAGCGCTGTAGCGCAGCAAAAAACTGCTAACACTACGGTTTTTTGATGAAAAAAAAGGGGCTTGGTTAATCGACTCCCAAAAGTTGGAGAGTCGACTCCCAAACCCCCCAAACCCCCGAAATTCCCCCGTATCCCCCGAGTATTGGGAGTCGATTCCCCAAACCCGTCAGAGGGTTTGGGAGTTGAATCCTCAAAAATTTTAAATAAAAAAAAACAAAACTCCCGGAGGGGGACGGAGTCGATGCCCCAAAACCCAGTGGGTTTTGGGGGTCGGCGAGCCAAAAAGAGCCCTCGATGGCCGGGATGATTCCTCCCGGCCGTCGAGGATGTACATGTACACCTTCGACGGCCGAGAGAAACCCTCCCGGCCGTCAAGGATGTACACCTTCGACGGCCGAGAGAAACCCTCCCGGCCGTCAAGGATGTACACCTTCGACGGCCGAGAGAAACCCTCCCGGCCGTCGAGGATGTACACTCTCGACGGCCAAGAGAGAACTCAACGTTTCTCTTGGCCGTTGAGAGTGTACACTCTCAACGACCGGGAGAGAACCTCTCGGCCGTTGAGGGTGTGTACACCCTCAACGGCCGAGAGAGAACTCAACGGCCGAGAGAAACACTCTCGGCCGTTGAGGGTGTACACTCTTGACAGCCGAGAGGTACACCCTCAACGGCCGAGAGAGAACCTCTCGGCCGTTGAGAGTGTACACTCTCAATGGCCGAGAGTATAACGAGGAAGATTGTGGCCTTGAATGTGAGAATGAAACTTGGAGAGCGCAGAATTTGGTTTGTATTTTGAATCATCTTGAGGAGTGAGGTGTGCCCAGTCCCTCGACGCCACTTGATCAAGATTGGCAGCTTCCCAGTCAGCCGAATCACGCGAGCGGAAGAGGGCGTCGACTTGTTCTTGGAAAGTGTCTTCGGCCTGGGCCTGCAGCTCGGGGTGAGCCTCGAAGAACCGTGCAAGATCTGCTCTAGCCTTGATGACTCGGGCATGGTCTATTTGCGACACTAATTGGCCGGATTGCTCCTCGAGCCTTAATATCTCTCGCAAGTCTAATGACACCTCCTTAGCCATCTCCGGATGCGCCTTGGCGTACTGTTCAACGACCGCCTGATCGATCGCTTGCGTGGCTACTTGCTTCACTCTGCTCTCATACCCACCATGACCAACACGATTATTATCCGTTGGAGTCGGACATCCCCAGTTGAAGATCTCTGTGAAGGAGACCGGGCCAAAGATCGGAATGATCACAAAACGAGGCGGCACTATTACTGCTCGCTTAGACAAAATCGGCTGTCCGAGAACGGGTGAAGCTTTGGGGATTGTTGAACAAGCAGTGCTTGGGAGATGCAAGATTGGTGCGATGATCAGTGCCGTGAGCCACAATGGGGAGCAAGAGAACTTTTTCATGGCCAAGTCCAAGCAAAGCAGAATTCGGAATCAGCGCTCCGATCCTTGTCCACCGGTATCTCTCCTCGAGAGAAACCCTCCCGGCTGTCGAGAGTGTACACCCTCAACGGCCGAGAGTGTTTCTCTCGGCCGTCGAAGGTGTACATCCTCGATGGCCGGGAGGGTTTCTTTCGGCCGTCAAAGGTGTACATGTACATCCTCGACGGCCGGGAGGAATCATCCCGGCCATCGAGGGCTCTTTTTGGCTCGCCGACCCCCAAAACCCACTGGGTTTTGGGGCATCGACTCCGTCCCCCTCCGGGGGTTTTGTTTTTTTTTATTTAAAATTTTTGAGGATTCGACTCCCAAACCCGCTGACGGGTTTGGGGAATCGACTCCCAATACTCGGGGGATACGGGGGAATTTCGGGGGTTTTGGGGGTTTGGGAGTCGACTCTCCAACTTTTGGGAGTCGATTAACCAAGCCCCCAAAAAAAAGCGCCACTAGGCTACGCTTTTTGGGCCAAAAGCATAGCGGCCCACCGCTGACTCAGAGCTGTTGATCCGACTGGAAACTACACCGCCCCCATTACAAGTTTACTTCACTCATCAAGGCGGACGATCTCTCTTCTTGGAACAACCTGGGCAGATGATTCTAATTCATTTATGTATATGTACTAAAAGGCCCTGGTGGTTAGTGATAGTTTGTATATAAGAATGCTATGTAATTGGTCGGGATTTCCTTGTTTCCAGTGTTCCAAAATCATCGCATTCCACAATTTTTGAGTTCAGGGTTTTTTTCTTCTTCTTCTTTTTTTTTCTCGACCCTTGTGAAATAAAGTCATGAATGATCACCAACCGCCAGATTATGTGCACCCCAACCAATATTTATGGGAACGTCTAAAGACTGAAAGATTCTCCAATTGTCCAGGTGTTCTTCAAGAAAAACTTTGACAAATTTTTTCTATCATGGGTTAAGAAACAGTTTGGGGTGAGCCGGTCTGCTTCTGACAGGTCCAACCCCCCACAGTGGTCACTCGTGGGATCCACCTGCAAAAGTGGTGTTGGACCACATCAAACTGCGGCCTAGGTGTATGGTATCTATTTTTTTTTGTTGATACTGAATACTAATAATACAATAGGGGGTATCAAATATAGCAAATTCACCATTAGAAACTTTTGGAACCTGAACTCTGAAATGTGTATTATTTGGTGCAGAAGTGACTAAGAGTCTGACTTGGAGGTATCTCCTGAGTCATCTCAGGTGCCGTGCTGCAGCACGTCAGAGGCATGTAACATCCATGTTACAACAGAAACCAGTCGCTTTTCCAAAAACATTTTCCTCTTGCATTGATGGGCACCAAAAGGGGTTAAATGAAGAACCAACATGTTTAAAAGAGGGTTGATTCTTTCAAACCATAGACACGGTTTTTGCTGTGCACAGGGCACATGGTTTCTGCATTTAATTGAACACATTTTTTGGTATTTGATTTTGGGGATTAATAAATGTACCCCCCTTTTCTGCTATCCACACCCGGTTTTTCACACCTGGTTTTCTGCTTCTACACCCGGTTTTTCCCAGCCTTTTTAATTCATTTTTTGGGGATTCCAAATATGCTAAAAATCATCTAAAATCCAGCATTCTTTTTGGGCATGTTAAAAATTTACAAAAGAGCATTTCAATTTTTTTTTGTTTTTCTCACCCATTTTTCCCAGTTGTTTTCTCCTGTGAATTTTTGAAAACTTGAATTATAGCTAAAAATTATTATTAACTGTCAATTTTTCAATTTTTCTTCTCCATATAGATGGTACCATTCAAGATATTCCTTATTTTGTCCATTTGCATATTACTCAAAACCAACAACATTGGATTTCCAAAATGAAATCAAATTTTGTTCTTTATAGATTTCCCAAAGATTTGGAAATATCAATGATAAATTTAAATGTACTTTGGAGTTTCAAAAATTCATAGGCAGAAGGTTATATTTGATACCCCCTAATTAGTTGAAATTAAAATTTCTCTTTTGAGTATTTTTTACATACCCAAAAAGAATGTTTAATTTTCAAAGATTTTTAGCACATTTAGAATTGCCAAAAAATGAATTGCAAAGGCTGGGAAAAACCAGGTGAAGAAGCAGAAAACCAGGTGTGAAAAACCGGGTGTGGATAGCAGAAAAGGGGGTACATTTACTAATCCCCTTGATTTTTTACCACTTATTTTTCTTGTTTTTTCAAGAATTTCAAATGTATTTCCCACTCTTTAAAGTGTGTAGAATTTTATGGTAAAAACAATTCTCAATAAAAACCAATGGGTTTTTTGGTTTTTTTTTTGAATGGAATTGTTTATGGTGGTTTATCTTATTATCTGGTACTGTTGATATAGTCAGCTTGAGTTTCAATATGATTCAATTCAATCTGACCATCATCTACATGTTTCAAACCATCTAAATAACCAATTTATGGAACAATTGGAAGGAGGAATTCATTCTAATTTTATAGCTTTGTTATGGTCATAAGAAAAAAAGAATTGAATCTGAATAAAATAAAGAAATGAAGGACTTCCTGCCACTGGGGGAAATTCAACAGTCCTGAAACAGTAACATGGCAACTGATAAAATCATGAACAGAGAATGAAATGTTTGTTGAGAATTTTTTGGCAACAAAAATGATTTCTTGTTGGCCAAACGGCTCAGAAGGGCACAAAAAGAAGGAGAGAACCAATGATGTTTTACTTAAAGGAGGCTAGGTGTCAAGTAGTTTACATAAAAGAGGTTCAACATGTGGGTGAGAAAAAATGAATGTTGAAATGAATAACACTTAAACACATGCATGAAAAGATGACAGGAGCAAATAATCATTGATAAAGACTAGACCCAGGTTTGAAGACCACAGGGATTACAGCACTAGACAATGAGAAAAGGTGCCACTCAGACACTTACAAGACACAGTAAAATTAGTAATTTTTCATCTAAATATCATTAAATCAGAAAGGTGTGATTATGGATGGATTTTTTAGGGATGAGAAGAAATAGACAAAATCCCAACAGCAACACAAATTTCAAATCAAGACAGTTCTCACCATGATGACCAATGTATGTATGTGCAGTCACCTATCAGATGTTTATAGCTAGTTTGATTGAATTACACAACCCTGACCCACCAACTAGGGAAATCATGAGACTTGAGCAAGTGGTATAAAAGAGGTTTCAAAAAATAATTCTGAAGATGAAAACATGAAAAAACTGATTTTTGAAATATGCAAAAAAATATTAATAATTATTGCCCTTTTTTCAAGTGCTTTAATAAAAAAAAAAAACTGTTTTCCACATTTAGACACAGTTCATGCTGTGCGCAGTGCACGCAGCAAAAAAAGTGTCTAACCCCTGATTACAATTAAGTGCATCTTGACTGACTACATGGGTAATTATAAGTGATACTGGGGACCAATCTAGGCCAATATAGTGATCAAAAAATTACATCCCCTTAACAATCACTGAGTCATTGTGAATGTCTCATGAAGAAATAGACTCAGATGTCATGAGAAGCACTTAGAGATTTTCCCTTCAACCGATGCTCCTTGGCCAGCTCCCTGCTCCTCCAATCTGACCATGTTTAAATCTCATTGAGTCCATTACCCCACATCAACGATTCAACACACCTTGTTGTGGCACCTTCTCTGTTGCCTGTACCACATTGTCCCCATACACAGACCTCCCTCCACACCAGCCATCCCCTCCCCCATTGATATATACACTCTGGATAGAATTATACCCTACTGCAAAATTATTTCCTTCCACCCTCAAACAACCTTTCCCCAGTATAAATGAGCAACACAACTGCTGCGTTCTTTCTTTCCCCTCTTGAGTCCTCCTCCAACTATTTCAAATGCTTATCTCACTTTTACTCAATATTTTGACCTGCTCTCCCCTGTGTTACATAATCTTTTCAAAACTGGACTCATGATTTGACAATTTGAATTATCAGAAATTGTTACCATGTCACCATGGCCAGAGATTCAACT